TCATAACAACGCTAACGCTATACCGAGGTAGTTCTTCTGAAACTCTAAGGGCTTTCAGACTTCTCTGAAAATTTCAAAACATTTGTTACCGTGGTTAAAAAGTTGCAGCTGTTTATGTGCGTTGGAATAAATTCGGGTTTGTCCTTTATATCGTCTTTAAAACATGTTGAATGTTCAGCATCATTTCCTGTCACCCCGACTGGCGGTACTTTGGGACAAGGTTGACATGCTCAATCCTTCGCACAAGTCGTAATTCCGTTAACAATCCTGTACTCGTTTGTCAAAATAATTTTGTGCGCTTTTGTTCCATATTGTACATATTGTTTAAACCTTTTCAATGATCCTATTAGCCTTGGAATTTAGTTAAAAATTTGAAAAAAATAGAACTGCAATTTTCGCTGAAAACTACCAAGTTCAACGCACTCGCACTGTACTGTTGCGGAACATTGCGAACACCTTCCGAGGAAAACCAGTGACAATCATTGCAAATGAGACGAGCGATTGTAGCCACCACGAGCAGTTTGCGATTGTCATCAGGTATATTGATAATGATGGGATTAAATTTCCCATTCCATTGGCTGTCTGAGAGCAGTTTGCATTGAAGAAGATGAACCACCACCGGAGCAAAAAATAGATAAAATTAGCTAAATTGAACAGTAGGCAAACAATGGTGGGTGGACAGCACCATCCACCACGCACTTTGGAGTACTCCCTATCCTCAGACTAAATGCACCACAGAAGAAAAAAAAATGCCCCTCCTTACCAAGATTCCTGTGCACGCTAGTAAGCCTCTTCTATTAAGAGAATTCGGCATGATTTTTTTTAGACATAATTCTCTTAATAGGAGGGGCTTAAAATTTACAACTTTCTTTCCTTTATTTAACGTCGGTCTCTATTCCGCAATCTAGTGCCAATCACCGACGGACATCGATTGCCATCCATTGACGGCAACCGAATGTGCAGGAAGGCAGCTTCCACACCTGCATAGGATATCGCACCCATTCACAATACACATGAGCCGGGACCAACGGGTTTACTTCCCTTCCGAAGGAAGACGTGACCAGAGATTTTTATGCCTCAGAAAAATCCCACCGACCTCGGCTGGGGATTGAACCCAGACCCATTGGGGTGTTAGAAAGCAGTCACGCTTACCACTACACCATCGGTGCCGGCAAAAATTTACAACAAAAGGCATAAAGATAGGTACGGTCTGGCATGCTCAGTGCTTGGAATCAATATTCGGCGACTGTGTTAGGGAAACCACATTTCCCATCACAAAACGCCTCGTTTTCTGATGTCAAAATTACGCATTTTCGTAGAAAAAACGCACAGAACTTTTGGTTTATTCAATAGACAATAAAAAAGCGAAAATTGATTGGAGGAACTTCTTGCTAAAAAATTTCCAATGGCGAGATATTCACGATCAATCATATAAATTCGAGATTTTTTGCTTTTTCTAGTGTCCTGAGAAAACCTTACGCAGTGTTTCTGGTTATTTGACATGGTCATGTGGTATTTGGTCATTGGGAGAATTTTTATGTTCCACTTCAATACTTGACGCATTTGACCACAAACGTTTGGTTGCTATACATTATCAAATAGCTTTGGGAGTGATGTGGCTGGCAGCAAGGTGAGCGAACGTTCAATGAAAATTAACTCTTAAACAACAATAATTTATGGTGGTCCTGAAAAGAACCGTTTTGTCGTGATGGTTGAGTAATGCTGAGCTATTAGGGTGTTCAACACGGATGAGACTGGCGAGCTGTATGTTGCTTGGAACGAGGGTAACGCGCTTGCATAGATGGCCCACGACGAGCAACTGAATCCGATCAGCGGTTGAGGGCAGCCTTGATAGCTAGCTGCTTGCGAGGAGCCTTTCGTTGTGCACTGGAGAATACCACCACTCACCACACGCGGTGATTGAATGAACAGCGTTCGTTGAGACCGGATGGAATTCAATTTTGAAATCTGTGTTAGGGAAAGCGCTTTTCGCAGGCAATCGGTAACCATTTTATGATCGTAGCAACACTTGCACATTCGTGCAATTTTGAATAGTGACATTTTGAAAAATTTGAAATCCTTAATTTTAACAGATTCGTAGAAAAATTTCCTATTGATTTGCGTATTCAGAATTCCATCATCTCTGGATCAAACCCAGACCACATTCATGCCAATGAATGCAATGTAGCAGTTTCGTAGCTAAATTTTTAATCGATTGGCAGGTTTAGAGTTAAAATCCATCCATTCAGAGTTATATGTGGTCAAAACCTGACCACTTTTCGTAATGCGGTCAATTTTGGTTTTTTTGTTTAAATTTCACCCCTAATATGTTGCCGAATGGCGTAATCCTACGTCAAATTGCACAAATTGAAAGAGCGGTGAAAGGTATTGATAACCATAATGAGGTTTCGTTTCAACTCGATAATCGCAATTACTTTCATTGAAAGTGATGAGCAAAGCAACGACGGGAAAATCCTCAGCCAGTTTTTCGTTCTAAGCGTGCTTCTTTTTCATTTTCATTTCGTGCTGATAGTCTAGCTAGGCGTTATAGAAATGATGCGTTGAACACGTTGTATGAAAAAGAGAAAACTCAAGTTCATTTAAGAGCTTCGAAAAGGTAGAGCCCTGATTGTGATGCGTTGCTTGAGTTAAATTGATACAAGCAACCTCTTTGAGACATGTCAATTCGACCAATGACCTTCTTCTACAACCGATGCGGGTTACAGTGGCGCCCCAAGTCTGTAGTCCAGATCAATATAATGACACTGCAGACTGCCAAAAACATTATCGTTATGTCCTTCTCTTATAGTAACATCGGATCAGTGCAGTGCAGAGGAAAGCATAGAGAAGTCGGAAGGAAAATGATAAACAAACAGAAGAACATAGCAGATACCTACCTACAATACTTATGTTGGTTGATGATCCGTGACACACATATTGAAGCCCAAGCATAAAGCAGAATTAAGGATACCGCAGCCTGATTGTCGTGCCGAAATTTATGCTTTTGTTATATTTAAGGTATAAAGCAATTTAGGGCGTACGGTCTTCGTCGCTGTAATTGTGTTGTTTTGAACGTTGTGAACTACCCAAAGAAACGCGCTATCGGTTTTCAGGATTATGGCTCATGGGAACAGCGTTTTGAATAAATTAGTTTGAACCTTTTTTTTCAAATGAGGAAGTGTGCTGCATTTGATGAAAGTCGTTGACGTGCATTATAATTAGGCCTAATTTATTTGTTCGATTCGGATGGAATGGGTTAATTGCGGTAAAGGGGGTGAGAATCGATTTCATTTGAATTTCGCCGGAAATTTTTCTATCAAGGAAAAAAGTCGTTGTCATAGTGTCGTAGTTGTAGTGTTCCCTCCTTTTTTAAATTTGTACAATTGTTAAGCATGCTTGAGAGATGGATACGTTTGAGAGTGTGATATGTGTCGTTCGTTTTGCTTGGTTAAGAGATTTCGTCATACTTCGATCGGAAAACAATGTGTTCTGGTTCTCACATTATTTTATCGAATTTTTCCCCCTGACGTTTTTCCCTGGTAACTGGATCTAGGCGGAATGAGATTTATTATTATTATTACTTCATAAATGCTTTGAGCTCAGGATATACTCTATACTCAAGGGGATTGATTGTTTCAAATAGGGTTACCAGATACATATTTTAGAATATTGAACAGAAGTTGCAAACGGCCGTTTGATTAGTAATGTTGCATTAATGGCCCTTCGCTCAATTTCAGCTTCTGTTCAATGTTCACACTGCCGTACTCTAGCGATCAATCTATCCTCTTCAGAACTTTATCTAGCTAATAAATTATCACACTAAAGCTTCTTATCCATATTAGTATAGCATTTCCTCCCAACTCTGAAAATTTCACAATGGTGACCCTATTCTCGACAAAATGTTCACAGATCAATGGTTGTATTTAAACGAATCCAGGTTGCCGTAAGGGGAATACAAGAACCGCCGTGGGGTGCCATTTCTTCCTTGAGGCCTCGTTTCACCACAGGTGCCACCGTTGCTACCCCTCGGTCTGGTTGTTTTCGGAAGTCTCGAATTTGTTCAACCGCAATTTGATTCGCTACGGTTGCGCTGCTTTGACTCGGTAGTGCTGAACCATTTCTCCTAGCTGTGCGCTTCCTCGTCTTGATCGGTGTAGAGTCGAAAAACAAAAACATTCAAAACCCACATGTCTTTCTGGTTCCTCTACTAGCTGGCAGTGCCTGGACCGCTCAGCAGTCAGACTTCGAGCAGCAGCTCATGATTGATCTGGGCACGGTGAGGAACGTGACCAGAATCGAAATCCAGGGCCGTCCGCACAGTAACGAGTACGTCACCGAGTTCAGTATCAGCTACGGCTTCAATGGACAGGATTATATCGACTACAAAGAACCCGGTGGCAACACTAAGGTAAACAAGGCCCGTTTCCGGGCCCCCTTATGCAACCTCCAGGCGACAACGAATGAACCATCACGACATACTTCACAGCTGTTCCTTTCACTGTCACTTCACTTTTCCTGTAAATATACATAGAGCGTAACAAAGTCACCCTTGGCTTCCGGTGATTCGTCTTTTTTCACCGCACTGTCTACTGAGATTTGCATAACAAACGCCTCCTAATCCACCCATTCTCGCCGCTTACTTGGATTTGACACGGTGATGGTTTTACACAAAATAATGGTGTTGGCTGATTGAATTAGATTTATGTTGGCTTTTTATTTTATTTTTATTTTAGCTTAAGTCTAGTCAGTAAGATCGTTCACACAATCCTAGTTTGGCAATCAATACTAATACTAATAATTGACACCCTTTTTCTCCATTATGCTGCCACATCCATCTGGGAATGAAATACGAAAAACCAAACCAAATCGATACAAAAATCGATGTCCTCCACTAATCCACTACATTCCAACTCAAAACACTCGAAAAATCCACCCGAACTAACCGAAATAACAACACCCAAAACCGCGGTCTGGTTCCGTTTCGGGGGTCGACGAAATAGCCCGCTCGGCCTGGACGCCGGTCGAGAATACCTACTTCCACTTTCTGACCATCGACCTGGGCGGGCGGAAGATGGTCCGGAAGATTGCGACGGCCGGCCGGGCCACCACCAACGAGTGCGTCACCGAGTACATCGTCCAGTACTCGGACGACGGCGAGATGTGGAAGTCGTTCACCGATAGCGACGGGGAGGAGCAGGTAAATGGATGAGGGGAATTTTTATTTATATGTGTCGGTTTGCAGGAGGTAAATCTGCATCTAAATGTGAAAGAACTGGTTGCAGATTACTACTGATGGCTTGTAGATTTATGTGTTCTGTAGAATTATTGTGGGATCTGTGACTAATTTTATTCGAAAAAGGGAGATGATTGCTAGTGGGATCGTAATAATAATATCACTGACAAAGAGACGTAACTCTACGTCGAAATAACGCACAACATTTACAAAATTTGAAACTAGAAATAATTTCGTTCCATCAAAATCGGTCAAGAAAATACGAAATGGTTGCAATATCTATTTTTTAGGGAAAAGCTTACTCTTGCCGATTTTTTTTCTGTAGGTTTGCTGTAAGAAATCCGTATGCTGCAGAAAGTACGGGAACATACTTTTGCTTTTAGCTGTACAGAATCTTACAGAAAAACAAGTATGGGAACAGACCGAGGAGGCGACACATCTAAATCTCAATTCTAGATGGCCGAACAATCTCACACCAGCGAATGAATCTTCGATAAATCTTCTATCATTTTGGACATCTATTTGCATTGCGCATCATATTTTTACAGTCGTCATTAATCTTCTTTCTATCTACTCTAGATTCCAGGCGTTTCTGACTTAGATTCTAGCCGTTACTAACGAAGATTTCTGACATTTCCGATTAAGATTCCAAACGGTCATGATGGAGATTCCAAACATATTTGGCGGTGATATTAAAAGTTCTTAGTTTTCGAACAGAGATTCCAAACATTCCTAAAGGAAGTACCAGACTTTCCCGACTGATATGTCAGACCTTCCCCATGGAGGTTTCTTCTGTTCCAGACTTTTTCGACGGAGATAACAGACGTTCCTAAAGATGATTTCAGACTTTCCCAGCGGATATTTCAAACATTTTCGACGATGATTTCAAAAGTTTCCAACTTGGTTATTGGACTTTCTAAACGGAGATTCCAGACGTTGCTAATGGAAGTAGCATACTTTCCCGACAGAGGTTGCAGACTTTCCTCACGGAGGATTCATCTGTTATATAAGATGATTCCAGAATTTCTCAACGGAGAATAGAGACGTTCGTTACTTGAATTCCAGACTTTTCTGACTTAGATTCTAGACGTTTCCGAACACGATTCTGGACGACCCCAAAGATGATGCTAGATTTTCCAAACATAAATCGTTTAAGATAGGGATGACTTAGGTTTGAGACGCTCCAGCAGATTATTCCAGACCTTCCTGACGGAGGTTCCAGACGTTCCGAAGATGGTTCAAGACGATCACAACGATGATTCCAATAGACTTTCCAGACACAAAATCAAAACGTTTTCGACAGGGTTACTGGTTCTCCCGACGGAGATTCGAGGCGTTCTTAACTTGGAATAAAGATGTCCTTCACTTAGATTCGAGACGTTCTCAAAGGAGATTCCAGAAGTTTCTGACTGAGATCCATTCGTTCTCGAATTTGGTGTTCCCGGCGATGATTTCAGACTTTCCCCACGTAGGTTCCAGATGTTATCAAAGATGACGGAGATTTCAAACATTGTCGGCGATGATTTTAAGAATTCCAAAACATTAGACGTTCCAAACCGAGGTTTCAGACGTTTCTAATGGAAGTTCCAGACTATCATGGTGGAGATTTCATCTGTTCCCGAAGATGATTCCAGACTTTCTCGACGGGATTAGAGACGTTCGTTACTTGAATTTCATACGTTTCTGACTTAGATTCGATACGAAGACGAAGAAGAGTCTGGACGATCCCAAAGATGATTATAGACTGTCCTAACAGAAATTCCAATCGTTTTCGACAGGGATGACATAGATTCGAGGCGCTCCAGCAGAAGATTCCATACGTTCCTGTCACAGGTTCTAGACGTTTGACGATGATTACGGGCGATACCAAAGATGATTCCAGCCGACTTTCCAAACAGAAAATGAAAACATCTTCGACAGACGGAGATTCGAGACGTTCTTAACTTGAAATAAAGATGTCACTAACGAAGTTCTCGAAGGAGATTCCAAAAGTTCCTGACTGAGATTCCATTCGTTTTCGATTTGAATTTGGAATGTTCCTGTAAGAGACCTTCCCCATGAAGGTTCTCAACATGGTCTTAACTTAGATTCGAGACGTTCTCGACGGAGATTCCAAAAGTTCCTGACTGAGATTCCATTCGTTTTCGATTTGAATTTGGAATGTTCCTGTAAGAGACCTTCCCCATGAAGGTTCTCAACATGGTCTTAACTTAGATTCGAGACGTTCTCGACGGAGATTCCAGACGTTCCTGAAGATGATTCCAGACTTTCCCAGCGGAGTTTTAAAATATTTTCGACGATGATTTTAAAAGATCCCAACTTGTTTATTGGACGTTCTGAACGGATATTCCAGATGTTCTGAATGGAAGTACCAGATTTTCCCGTCAGAGGTTGCAGACTTTCCTCACGGAGGTTTCATCTGTGTCCGAAGACGATTCCAGACTTTCTCGACGGAGATTAGAGACGTTCGTAGCATGAATTCCAGACGTGCCTGACTTAGATTTGAGACGTTCCCGAACACGATTCTGGACGATCCCAAAGATTATGCTAAACTTTCCAAACAAAAATTCCAATCGTTTTCAACAGGGATGACTTAGGTTCGAGACGCTCCAGCAGATTATTCCAGACCTTCCTGACGGAGGTTCCAGACGTTCCGAAGATGGTTCAAGACGATCACAACGATGATTCCAGTAGACTTTCCAGACACAAAATCAAAACGTTTTAGAAAGGGATTCCTGGTTCTCCCGAGGGAGAATCGAGGCGTTTTTAACTTGGAATAAAGATGTCCCTCACTTAGATTCGAGACGTTCTCGAAGGAGATTCCAGAAGTTTCTGACTGGGATCCAGTCGTTCTCGATTTGGCGATGATTTCAGAATTTCCCCACGTAGGACTTTTTCGATGGAGATTATAGATGTTTGTAACTTAGACTCCAGACGTGCCTGACTTTGATTCGAAACTTTTCCGACGGAGACTCCAGACGTTTCCGAAGAAGATTCCGGACGGTCATGACGGAGATTTCGAACATTTTCGGCGATGATATTAAACATTCCATCACTTGGTTATTAGACGTTCTGAACCGAGATTTCAGACGTTCCTAATGGAAGTTCCAGACTATCATGGCAGAGATTTCATCAGTTCCCGAAGATGATTCCAGACTTTCTCGACGGAGATTAGAGACGTTCGTTACTTGAATTCCATACGTTTCTGACTTAGATTCGAGACGAAGACGAAGAAGATTCTGAACAATCCCCAGTGGCGTCGCCCTAACCTCAATCTACCTGTTCAACAACTCTCAAAACTTCAAAAAATTAAAAATAAAATGGCTTCCAGATAATACAAATCAATGAAACCATAAGACGCTGTGCCTTTTGAAACTTATCTGAATGTAAGCATGACCCTTAATAACGTTTTCAAAGTCGTTGAACAGGTAAAAAGTGAGGTTACGCGATGCCACTGACAATCCCAAAGATGATGCTAGACTGTCCTAACAGAAATTCTAATCGTTTTCGACAGGGATGACTTAGATTCGAGACGCTCCAGCAGAAGATTCCAGACGTTCCTGTCGCAGGTTCTAGACGTTTGACGATGATTACAGACGATACCAAAGATCAAGACCAACAATTGAAATGGCCTTAACTCCATTTTGTAAACAAACCTTGTAAGGCCATTTTCTCGCGAACCGAAGTCCGCAAAGGCAAACCAACATAATGAACAGGTAGGGGAAATTCTCCTCTACCCGATTGTGGTTTAGGTTTGCGAATGAAGATTTCGGTTCCCGAGAAAATGGCCTTACAAGGTTTGTTTACAAAATGGAGTTAAGGCCATTTCAATTGTTGGTCTTGAGATGACTCCAGCCGACTTTCCAGACAGAAAATCAAAACATCTTCGACAGAGATTCCCGACTATCCCGCTGGAGATTTGAGACGTTCTTAACATGAAATAAAGATGTCCCTAACTTAGTTTTGTGACGTTCTCGAAAGAGATTCCACAAGTTCCTGACTGAGATTTCATTCGTTTTCGATTTGAATTTGGGATGTTCCTGGTGGAGACCTTCCCCATGAAGGTTCTCAGCATGATTTTAACTTAGATTTGAGGCATTCTCGACGGAGATTCCAGACGTTCCTGAAGATGATTGCAAACTTTCCCAGCAGAGATTTCAAATATTTTTGACGATGATTTTAAAAGATCCCAACTTGTTTATTGGACGTTCTGAACGGAGATTCCAGACGTTCTGAATGGAAGTACCAGATTTTTCCGTCAGAGGTTGCGGACTTTCCTCACGGACGTTTCATCTGTGTCCGAAGACGATTTCAGACCTTCTCGACGGAGATTAGAGACGTTTGTAACATGAATTCCAGACGTGCCTGACTTAGATTCGAGACGTTCCCGAAGAGGATTTTGGACGACCCCAAAGATGATGCTAGATTTTCCAATCAGAGATTCCAATCGTTTTAGACAGGGATGACTTAGATTCGAGACGCTATAGCAGATTATTCCAGACCTTCCTGATGGAGGTTCCAGACGTTTCGAAGATGGTTCAAGTCGATCACAACGATGATTCCAGTAGACTTTCCAGACACAAAATCAAAACGTTTTCGACAGGGATTCCTGGTTCTCCAGACCGAGATTCGAGGCGTTCTTAACTTGGAATAAAGATGTCCCTCACTTAGATTCGAGACGTTCTCAAAGGAGATTCCAGAAGTTTCTGACTGAGATCCAGTCGTTCTCGATTTGGCGATGATTTCAGAATTTCCCCATGTAGGTTCCAGCTGTTCCCAAAGATGATTCCGGACTTTTTCGATGGAGATTAGAGACGTTTGTAATTTAGACTCCAGACGTGCCTGACTTTGATTCGAAACTTTTCCGACGGAGACTCCAGACCTTTCCGAAGAAGATGCCGGACGGTCATGACGGAGATTTCGAACATTTTCGGCGATGATATTAAAAATTCCAACACTTGGTT